CTGAGAATCCTGGTCCTGGACTTTTCTTAGTTGGTAGGCTTTTGATGGCATCTTCTTTTTCCTTGCTTGAAATTGATCTGTTTAAATTGTGTATGTCCTCCTGATTCAGTTTGGGTAGATCATATGTTTATAGAAGTTTGTTGATGCCATTGAGATTTTCTACTTTATTGGAGTATAAATTTTCAAAATAGTTTCTAATTATCTTTTGTATTTCAATAGTTTCAGTCATGATATTTCCTTTTTCATCATGAATTTTAGTAATATGAATTTTCTCTCTCCTTTTCTTTTTTATCATGGCTAAGAGTTCATCAATTTTATTTATTTTTTTAAAGAGCCAACTTTTCTTTTTGTCAATTTTTAAAATTGTTTCTTTTGTTTAAATTTCATTGATTTTAGCTGATTTTAATTACTTACCTGTCTTCTACTACTTTTGGTATTGATTTATTCTTTTTCTAGGGCTTTGAGATGTAATGCTGGGTCATTTATTTGTTGACTTTTTATTCTTTTAATGTATGAGTTCAACGCAATGAACTTTCTTCTTAGTGCTGCCTTCATACTGTCCCAGAGATTTTGATATGTTATATGGGTGTTCTTATTTACCTTTAAGAATTTGTTTATCTCTTCCCTGATGTCTTCTGCTACCCATTGCTCACTCAATATCATATTATTTAGTCTCTAGGTGTTGGAGTAGCTTTAATTTTATCATTGATTTCTAGTCTCATTCCATTATGTTCATAGAATACAGGGTAGTACCTCAATTTTTTTTTTGTATTTTCTGAGATTTGCTTTGTGGCATAATATATGGTCTATTTTAGAGAAGGATCCGTGTGCTGCTAAGGATCCATGTGCTGCTAAGAAGGTATATTTGCTCGATGATGGATGAAATTCTCTCTATATGTCTGTCTAAATTATTGTTTGTATTATTGAGATCTATAGTTTCTTTGTTTAGTTTTTGTTCCCAAGATCTATCCAGTGGTGAGAGAGAAAAGCTAAAGTCACCCAGTATTATTACATTGTGATCTATTTTCAACATCTTTAGAAATTAGAGAAATACAGATGAAAAGTACTCTTAAGATTTCATCTCACTCCAGTCAGAATGGCAGTTATCAAGAATACAAGCAATAGTAAGTGTTGGAGAGGGTGTGGGGAAAAAAGTACACTCATACATTGCTGGTGGGACTGTAAATTGGTGCAACCAATTTGGAAAGCAGTGTGGAGATTCTTCAGAAAACTTGGAATAGAACCACCTTTTGACCCAGCTATCCCACTCCTTGATTTATACCCAAAGGACTTAAAATCAGCATACTATAGTGACATAGCCACATCAATGTTTATAGCAGGTGAATTCACATTAGCTGAACTGTGGAACCAACCTAGATGCCCATCAACAGATGAATGGATAAAGAAATTGTGGTATATATACACAATGGAATATTACTCAGCATTAAAAGAGAATAAAATTGTGACACTTGCAGGTAAATGGTTGGAATTTGAGGATATTATGCTAAGTAGAGTAAGCCCATTCAAAAAAACTAAAGGCTGAATGTTTTCTCTGATTAGTGGATGCTGATCTATGATGGGAGTCATGGGAAGAATGGAGGATCTTTGGATTGGGCAAAGGGTAGGGTAGGGAAGAGTTATGAGGATAGAAAAGATGGTGGAATGAAATGGACATCGTTACCCTAGTTACATGTATGATTGAATGAATCGTGTGTCTCTACACTGTGTACAGAGAATTGAAATGTTGTGCTCCATTTGTGTATAATGAATTGAAATGCATTCTGCTATCATGTACAACTAAGTAGAATAAAAATATATATAAAAGTGTATAATGCAATAGCATTTAGTGCATTCACAGTGCTGTTCATCACCCATCTTAGTTTTACAATTTTTTTTAAGTCACCCCAAAGGAACACTTTGCAGTCATTAAGTAATACCAACTGTACATTCTCTACTCTTCTCTTTTCTGCCTATACTCCCCAAACACTAATTTGTCTCTATGGATTTGCCTATTCTGAATATTTATTAAAAAGACAACAAATTATATGTGACCTTTGGTGTGTGACTTCATTTAGTCTATTTTCAGGGCCCATGCATGTTGGAGCATGTACCAGAATTTTATTCCCTTTGAAGGCTGAATGATATTCCATTATATGTATATAACACATTTTGTTAATCTGCCAATGCATCTGCCAATGGATACTTGGATTGCTTCTACCTTTTGGATATTGTGAATAATGCTGTGATGAACACTGACATAGAAGAACCTTTATGACTCCTTGTTTTTAATTATTTTAGTTATATACCTAAAAGTAGAATTGCTGGTTGTATGGTGATACTATGTTAGATTTTTCAAGACCTGACAAACTGTTCTGTCCAGCTGATGTGTCATTTTAAATTCCACTAGCAATGTACAAAGGCTCCAATCTTTCCATATTCTCAGTACTTGTCTTCCTTAAAAAAACACACTATATTTATCCTAATAATTATAAAATTATATCTCAATATAGCTTAGATTTGTGTTTTCTTAATAATTAATGATGTTGAACATCTTTTCATATATTAATAGTCATTGGTATGTCATCTTTGGAGAAAGATCTGTTCAAAATCTTTGATCATTTTTAATTAGATTGTCTATTTATTGTTGATTATTAGTTCTTTCTATATCTGGATATAGAAAGCCTTATTGAATATATATAGCCTTATTGAATATATGACTTGCAGATATTGTCTCCAATTCCATAGATTATCTTTTCACTTTCTAAATAATGTCCTTTGAAGGGAAAAGGTTTCTTAATCTTTATAAAGTCTATTTTATCTTTTTCTTTTGTTGCTTGGGATTTTGATGTCAAACCTAAGAATTTATTGCCAATAGTGAGGTCATTGAGAATTAATAGTGGCAATATTTTCTTCTAATAGTTGTTATTTTAGGCTTTAAGCTGTTGTTTCATTCTAAGTTAATTTTTGTAAATAAAGATAGAATATTCTGGCTGGGTGTGGTGGCACACGCCTGTATTCTCAGTAGCTCAGGAGGCCGAGGCAGGAAGATCATGAGTTCAAAGCCAGCCTCAGCAAAAGCAAAATGCTAAGAAACTCAGTGAGACCCTGTCTCTAAATAAAATACAAAATAGGGATGGGGATATGACTCAGTGGTCGGGTGCCCCCGAATTCAATCCCTGGTATCCCTCCCCAAGCCAAAAAAATAGATAGGGTATTCTTTTGCTTGTGGTTATACCATTGTCTTGCCCGCTAGATGATCTTGGCACTTTTGTTGAAAATCAATTGTCCATCAAATTTTGTACTTCTATCTGGACTCTCAGTTCTATTACATTGATCTGTTTTTTTATCCTTATGCCAAATACCACATTATTTTGAATAATGTAACTTTGTAGTAAGTTTTGAAGTATGAGCCCTCTAGGTTTGGTTTTCTCTTTCAATACTCTTGTCTCTTTAGACCCCTTGAAATTCTACAAATGTTAGAATTGTCTTTTCCATTTCTGTAGAAAAAGGGTACTTGGAATTTTGATAGGAATTGCATTGAATCTTTGGACTGCTTTGGGAGGAGATGTCATCTTAGAGTCTTTTTCAATCCATGAAAACAACATGACTTTCTATTTATTTTGACCTTTCTAATTTTTATTAATGCGGGAACAAAAGCAATAATATTGCAATTATATTTATCTTTAGAATTACCTTCACTACTGTTGTTTATTTCTTTATACAGCTTCAATGTAGTGTTCATTTATTTCATCCTGAAAGATTCCCATTAGCATTTCTCACAGGGCAAATCTACTAAGAATAAACTCCTTTACCTTGTTTAGTTAGAAATGAATTAATTTATTCTTTATTTTTGAAGAGCAGTTTTACCAGTTGTAGAATTTTGTGTGTGTTGGAGGGGGATGTGTCTTTTCCTTTCAGCATGTAGAAGTATCATCCCAAAGTTTTTGGCTTCTTGGTTCTAATGGCAGATTCTTTCTAATAAGATCATATTTGCCTAAATTCCCTTAATTTAGGTTAAATTTTGCAAGGGGGCAGATTATTAATCTTTGGATGCATTTTTCATTCTTGCCATGAGCATTATCTCCCTTACGTCCCTCCCTTTTCTGAGGTAGTGGGGATTGAACTCAGAGCTTTTTGCATGCTAGGTAAGTACTTTATCACTAAGGTGTAACTCCAGCCCATGCCTCATTATCTCTCCTTTAATATAATCAAGTATCAAACTCTGCTTCTAAAATTTATATTCTAAAGTAACTTTAAAAATTCAGAGAATGGAGCAGAATCTTTTAGTATTCTAATTTTTAATTTTATATGTTAATACTTTTTACTTATCATATTTTTAAGTTTAATAATAATTTTAATAAATTTAATAATTTTTTAAAGTTTAATCTTTAGTTTTAGTTTTGCAGTAAAATTGAGGAGAAAGTGCAGGGAGTTTACACAAACACCTTGTCCTCACATGCACAACTCCTGAATTTTGTACCACAGTAGTATTTTTGTTGCAATCAATGTACCTACATTCACATATCATTATCACCCAAGATCTATACTTTACAGTAGGGTTTACACCCTTGATTTTGTACATTATATAAGCATTGAAAAATTGTAGCATCACACAGAATGGTTTCACTACCCTAAATATCCTATGCTCTCCCTATATCCTTCCCTTTTCACTAATCACTAGTTTGGTTTTAGTGTTTCCATATTTTTGTCTTTTCCAAAATGTTATGTAATTGGAATCATAAAGTATATAGAATTTCCAAAGTTTCTTCTTTCATGTCAATATGAATTTAAATTTTCTCCATGTCTTTTCATGGGTCAAAAACTTTTTTAGTTCTCAATGTATACTCTTATCTAGGTGCAGCTCAATTTATCTACTCACCTACAAAGGGTATTTTGATTTCTTCCATTTTAAAATTTGTTTTCTTATTGTTGACTTTTAAGATTTCTTTATATGTGTTAGATAAGAGTTCTTTTTCAGATGTGTTCTTTGCAAACACTTTCACAGTTTGTCACTTAATACTATCTTATATTGACTTCTATGAAACATAAATTTTTAATTTTAATGATTGATGGATCAATTTAATTTTTAAATATTGAACCAGTCTGGCATGCTTAAGACAAATCACCCTTGGTTATAATGAATAATTCCTTTTTTCTTGTAATTTTTTTTGTTTGATTTTGGTGTTAGGGTAATGTTGCCCTCAGTAAATTAAGAAGTATTCCCTCTGCTTCTATCTTTTAGAAGAGATTGTACTGAATTGGTATAATTTCTTTCTTTGATGATGTTTGAGAGAGTTCCACAGTGAACTCAACTTGGTGCCTCTATTTGGAAGATTATTTTTTAGTTTTTAATAATTAAATGCCTTTATCAGTTAAAATATAGATTATTTATGTTTTCTTTGATGGGAGTTTTGGGAAAATGGTCTCGTTGAAGGAATTAATCCATTACAACTAAGTTATCTAATTTTAGGTCTTAGAATTCATAATATTCCTTTTAGTGTCTACAGGACTTGAAGGAGGATCCCCTCTTTGATTTCTTGTATTTATAATTGTGTCTTCTATCTCTTTTAACCTGGCCAGAGGACTATTGATTTTATTGTTTTTGAAAGAACCAGCTTTTGAGTTGACCTATTTTTAAAAAATTTGGGATCCCTGAAGAAATAACAGAGCAAAGCATATATAAAATCACCAATGAATCCTAATAACTCAAGAGGCTGGGGTAGGAGGATTGTAAATCCAAGGCTAGCCGCAGCAATTTAATGAAACTCTAAGCAATTTAGTGAGTCCCTGTCTCAAAATTAAAAAAAAAAATTAAGGAGAATTAGGGATGTAACTCAGTAGTAGTGGAGCACCTCTGATTTCAATCCTTAGTTTAAAAAAATTCGGTTAAGCAGTCTTCCATTTGTAGAAAATGAAATATTTGAATTAACATATGGTGGCAGGGATTATTGAAGAAGGTAATTCTAAGGTCAATTTGCAGAAATAAATGAAAAAGGGATGATGATAAAGTCAGGGATTCCTGTGAGAATGATTTTCTCATTGTCTGTCTAAATAGCTCGATTTCTGCACTAAAAAGCAGCTTTGGAAAAAGAAAGGTAGAAACAAACATCTGAGTCATTGCAGCTCATTTCAACATGAATTTATTAAATCCTAACTAAAATAGTTCTCTCCTGTGTTAGAGATAATCTGAGGACAAAAGGAATATGTAACTAGGGAAATGACCTGAACAGGGCTAATCCTGATAGGTGCCAAGTTTGAGAATTCATGTGCCTTATGTTATGGCAGGAAAAAATAATTCTGATGACTAGAGCACAGAGGTAAGGTAACATACAGAATCAAGATGATTACAAATTTTCAAGCCTGGGATACTTAATCCTGGGAAAATTAGAATGTCTGTCATTATTTTTATAATCTAACAATGCTACTAATTCTTGTGTTAAACTTAAAATTCGGAAAACCTTGCCCACTGAGAAATACCTGGATGTTACAAAGTATGTAACAGACATACTTAATATTTCTCAGTTTATATCAACTGAGGGAGATTAGGCATGGAAATTTAAAAGAAATGATAGAGTAATTAAAATGTGTTACTATATATCTACTATAATTCCTGAAAAATAAGAAAAAAGGAGATGTAACATTTGAAAAAGTGATGGCTACAAATTTTCCAAAATTAATGGAAAACATGAATTCTTTTACACCTTTATTAGAGAGTTTAAAAGAGGCAATTAGTGCATTTTTTTCTAATTTTCATATACTCTCCCATTTTCTCATTATTAAATATTTTTACTTTGTCAATGCATAAAATATCGACATTGTTATCCTTATTATCATTGGAACGTAAATAAAATCAACTACATAAATGTGCTTTGTAAAATATAAAACAATACATTTTTTCAGTTCCTTTATCCCTTTTTTCAAACCTTGCTTTTTAATTTCTCCCTTATTCAAAGTATAATTGGGTTTTAGAAAGATCAGAGCAGGTACTTCATATTTAGCCTATAAACTCTTTTCTGTTAATGCCAATCATTAAGTTCTTTGTTCACTCATACATATTTCTATCCATAAGATAAAAACTGGCATTTCTGGAATCAATTACAATTAGAACTAATACTGTTGTCTTACCTAAAGAATAAATGCACAATGGCACTCAATTTTATGTTATTACTCATCCTCAAAAACCCTAGCTAATAAGTACCAAATATTGATGGCTTCACTGATTTTCTTTTGAACAGTAAGAAAATGTTAGATATTCCATTTCTTTTTCTTTAAGTGGTAGAATTTATGTCATTGTTCCAACTGCAGGTGGCACTGAGTGACTTGTCAGTTCTGCTCCTGGTTATTCTTTCTTACCCTAGAAGTGTACAGAATACTACACATCATGAATCATGCTGAGCGAAAAGTATGATAAATATTTCCTTTGAGGAAAAAGTTTCATGTGGGAAACCATTTTCTCTTTTATCTATTGTGCTTCTCAGAGTCCAGCCAGAACCACAGCTGTTTAATTTATTTGATATATCTTGGTGTCTAGCATGGTGACGTGAACATATAGACATTTGATAAATGTTACATCATGATAATTGTGGCTATCATTATTAAGGTGGTTATGGAACCTATTCAAAGAATTCGATGCCATGACTTCATGGTAAGGTATGTTTTGTCTCTAGATTTCTCCCTTAATAGAGGCCTTGAATATGCTATATTTGTTTAAATAATCAGAGAGACATAGGAAGGAATTAAAGGACAACTGGTCTATGCACATTATTTTACATGAGACGAATAGGAGAACAGGGAGGTTTGACTTGTTCAATATACAGTGTGAAGTCAGTTCCAGATATGGGATAAAGAACTTGTTCTTCCAATCCAAGTTTTCCATTATACTGAAACTAAAATTTGCTTTTGCTATTATACAATGGTAATTTACAGCTCTTACTCAAAAATCATGTTTTAGAATTATGCTTTGGAATTCACAATGGAATAAAAAGAATAAAGAAATGAAAATAGTTTGATATGATATGTTTCCTCCTAATTTGGAAATTTTGACAGAGTGGGTGGGCCCACTCCATTTTATCAGGCATTATTGAATAGTTACAAAATCCAGAGCTAAGAAAATACAATTAAGTCTAGTTGGGTAGCCAGTTTTAAACCCAACTGAAAAAAAAAATCCCTGACAATTAAAGTGATGAGAATTGAGAATTTCAGGGATTGTGTTAATATTTAGTATGTGAAGAATTAAAAAAAAAATAGAGGTTTACATCCCTGGTGGGAAGACCAGTGCTGAAAGCAAATCTCCTTTATGTTGATCTGGGTATCAATTTCTGTTGAAGAATTGGGATCTCATGATACAGAATATCATATGTATTCTGACATTAATGATTTTCATCAGCTGAGGCAAAGAGATGTTGTTTGAGATGAAAATCTGAACATCCTAAAGCAGGCTTGATGCAAAATGCAGCTACCACAACAAACCTCAAAAGACGCTTGTTCATTTGGTTAATTTTGTAGCCAAGAGCTTTATTTCATAATTCTGGAAATGAACCAATTCCCTGTTCCCTCACTACATTTCAACACTGAATAAATACAATGCTGGACTTGGCCCACTGAAAACAACCTGCTATCACTCATGCAGGCAAAGCCAGGGACTCTGAATTGATTTGGTCCTCCTTCTGGGTTGTGGTAGGGAAAATAAACGCACACAATGACTTATGACTGTTTCTTCAGGTGACTTGCACCTTGGCTGACTTGATTTGGCTGACTTGCTGATGGGACCACGGAGAGACCTTCATCTGCTTCCCAGCAACCAAAGGTCAAGCTATTTTCATGCTTTTCTGTCTCATTTTCCTTCCTTCTGGGGTTGGTGCTATTCTTACAGGCTTTATATTATTGTCACACCTACTTTTTTTTTAAAAAAAACATTTTCACTTTTTTATTATTGCAGGTCCTTTTAAAATACAGTATAAACCGTTTTAATTGTTCTACAGAAGAATTCTTGTATCAAGCCTTTTCTTCTCTCTGGTACCAACCTAGCCCAACCACTCAGTATTCCTCAAAAGTATAAGGCTCTATCTCATTTTGGTCTTGTGTATGATGCTTCATTTGCCTAGAATTTCCATTCTTCTGTGCCTGAATGATTTCTATTACCCTTTAAGACTTAGTGTAATCATCACATCCTCCAGAAAACTTTCCCTGGCACATTCGGTCTGGATTAGGTGCTGCGACATTATTTACTTCCAAAGTAAACACTGCCTTGGCTCACCCCTCCACTCCTCACGCTGTGGTACTATTGCCATTTTACTGCTCTCAAGTAGCCTGCCACCACCCCAGAAGCCAACTTGGAGCTATCACTGGCTTCTTTTTCCTTCTGTTGCCTATGCCAGGCATAGGGCCTGAGGCATAGTATCACATAACATAGTGAAGTTGAATAAATGGATGGACATGCAGAATAAGATTCAGGTTGTTAATCAGTTAATTTCAATCATGCAATTTATATAAAATAATTATGTTGTATAGAAAGAAGAAAATTCTGTTTAGAATCAGAAGACATGAAAGGTAAGACCTAGACAAGAATCAGCTTCCTCTCATTTCACATTACCTCTCTGACATAAAACTATACTAAATGATTTCTAATGATAAAAACAATTCTTTCAGAGAGATTACTTTTTTTTCCCCACATTCCAAGAGATAAATGACTTGGTACTTTCTAGTCAATTGAACAACTATATTGAACCTAATATGTATTTTCCACACTATATAATGTTCATAGTACTTTTAAAAACATGCTCATAGCTCAGATAATATATAGATATTCATAAAGATAAATTTTCTTACCTAACAAAAACTACTTGGCAGAGATCACAAGTTCACATGCTAATATATACAGAGGAAGTGACAACTCAACATGGCCATGGAGAGGAGTGCTGTAAGAAGGAAGTTCACAATTTAAGGGCCAAGGACCAGCAAAGAGTAATAGAATTTTAAAACTGAATGGGTTCTTAGTCTCCAATTTCCTTTGATTTAGAACAGAGTCAGTTGAAGTTTAATGGATTGCAGACCAAAAAAATTCATGGAGTTCTGCCTAGAATTCAGGATTTTCAGTTTGGTCTTCTTCCTACTATAATATCTGACCTCTTTTGTGACAAACCAAAGCTACCAGCCAGTAGTGATAAGACACCTGTAAAGGCAAGAGTAGAACAACAATAACAAAAGGTCAAGTCAAATATCTTGAGAAACACATAACTCATCAGTTACACTTCCATTGATGTGATTCTGCAATCAGTATACGGGGTAAAAATGGGAGTTCATAACCCACTTGAATCAATGTGTGAAATATGATATGTCAAGAACTATGTAATGTTTTGAACAACCAACAATAAAAAAAAACACATAACTCAAAAGTCCAGCTAGATATCTTAGACAAAAATTCAGATATTCCTAATGCTACATGAAGTAAATATTTACTTCTTTATTTTTCTGTTCAACATTACCTTTTTTTAATAAGAAAAAAAAATTCCTCAATGAAATATTTCTTCCAGACTTTCATAGTTGGTAACTTGAATGGAACCTCTTTTTTCAGGAGCAATATTATTGCTAATTTGTGTATTTCTGCATTTATTGCCCTTGAAGATTTGACATTTTTTGTATAATAAACATTACAAAGTAGATAAAAGAATATTCTCCTGTATTATCTTTCGAAGCTCTGAGATATGACTTGTTAAAGATTTCATCTATTGTATGATAATATGTTTATACTGTATTTTAGTTAAATATTTGCAGGATACATTTTTCTGTCTCTGACAGCGTGAACCTTTTCTTTTACCTGCTAAGATTACTTCTGAGCTATTTAAACCTCATTTCCAATCCCTTCAAACGCATGGTTATTGCTAGGCTTTTGGCAAGCTCTGTTTCACACAGCTTCCAGGGCCTTGAGCTTGTGAAGCAAGTCCTCTACCAGCTGAGCTATATCCCCAGCCCTGAACATAACATCTATTTTTTAAATATCTTTATTTATTTACTTTTATGTGGTGCTGAGGATCAAACCCAGTGCCCCACACGTGCGAGGCAAGCACTCTACCACTGAGCTAAAACCCCAGCCCAATGACATCTATTTTATAGATGTGTGCTGGCTTTGAAAATGGACATCTTTGGATTTGAATATTGACATCATCTCATGTTATCTTGTAATCTAACTTAACACTTCTAAGAATCGTTTATTCATTGCTGAGACAATTTATACCTATTGCATTAGACTGTTGTGAGGCTAATACAGATATATGTAATATTCTTAGAGTTCATGGTGCTTAGTAAGTGCTCTATAAGTATTAGATATTATCATTGTTATTATTTATTACAAAGCATTCATTCTGCATAATCATTTCCATGTATTTTTTATCTATTGAATTTTTATATGATCTTCCAATATTTTCAAGACTAAAAACAGTTGTGTTTTGTTCTAAGTATCTTACAAAATTGCTGTGACCAGTGGATCCTTTATTGGTCAATTGATGATAAAAATATATTTGTTTTTTCTTAACTCTAGAGCACGGTGACTGATAGACGGATGGATGTCAGTGCTTCTACCTCTACTCTGTACCACTAGATTTCACCATCTGTCTTGAGGAAGGACTTAAAGTTTGTACTTCTTGCTGTCCCAGCTTCTAGCATGTAACCTGGCACTCAGACAAAAAAGAAAGGGGAAGGGGAAATTAGGAAAGAAATGCCAAAGAGTTATCTCCAATTTTTTTTTTTTTTACTAAGAATTCTAAGAAACATTGATAGTACTACATGAACATTTCCTTATGTTTCCCCATAATCAAAATACCAAGAAATTATGATTATCATGATCCCTCATTTCATAAATGTAATATGTATTCAGTACTTCTTTAAATTAAGGTGCCAATTGGAAGTTTTTAAAAGTGTGTCAAAACAAATGTTCCTTTGTCATGTCTTTTATGCAATTTTTAAAATTCATTCGACCTAAAATTATTGACCACCTACTATAGGTCATGCAATTTGCTAGGTGCTGGGGATGTAAACACAAAATATGATCTCTACCTTCCAGTAGATTATGACTTAATGAAATAGAATGACTGGTAGTAAATCATGATATAACATAGCAAGTGTGTAATTCAATGGCTCTAAATTAGCAATGTATCCTGAGAATAAGGTAACTAACACAAGAAGCACTAAGCAGTTGTTCTAACACCAGTTCATTTTTTTTGCCATAATGATGAATTTATAAATCACTTTTAATGAAATTTTATTTTTTCACATTGGAGGTTTTTAAGAAGTCTTGGGAACATTCTTCATGCCTTCCCTTGACTAGTGAACATATCTTCTTTCTAATTCAGATCTGTTTTTTACCTCTATCAGTTCTGTTCTTTCAAAATTGGATGGTAAGTTCACTAGCCAGGGGTGAAGGCAGGAGTTAGTGTATGATAAGATCATTGGGGTAGTGAATATATCAGAAGTTACTCTATAGGTGCAATGACAAATCAAATTCAAAATTGCTTATACAAGAAAGATGAGGTTTAGTTCCTCAAGGAAGGGTGTCTACTGCTGGTAGAGGATTTGGATGCCACGATGGTGGATTTTGTCACTGTCTCACATGCCTAGTATTTCTATATCAATTTCATTGTCCCTGACAAATGTACCCCACAACACTAAGTAATGGCTATCTGATAGTTTCCAGGCTATCATGATGGAGCAAGGGACCCTTCTATCATTTCCAATACAAAAATACAAAGCGAAACAAAAACATAACAGGTCATCTATGACCAGGAACAATAAAATGTGTAACCAGAAACATAGAGTCTAAAAGATGATTAAAAGATGATTTTGGGGGGCTGGAGTTATGGCTCAGTGAGAGAGCACTTAGCCTGGAATGTGTGAGGCCCTGGGCTCAATCCTCAGATAAATAAATAAATTAATTAAATTAAATAAACCACAAATAAATTAATTAATTAAAAGATCCATTGACAACTAAAAATATATTAAAAAGAAAAAAAGAAAGAAAGCTGATTTTGGCTCTTGTTCAAACATGGAGTGAACAAGAGAGGAAGAAAGAATGCATCATAGAGGCAGCAGAATGGGTGGTAGGTCAAACAGAACATATCCCATATGCATCCTGGCATTCAACTAATGTTTATCTGGTGTCTACTACTTGCAAAGCACTAGATTTGGTGCTACAATCTGATAAGACTGAATCGTTTTAATCACAGAATCTGTAAATTCTCTATGGAGAACAAGAACAGCTGCCCTGTTTCAGGTGAATTGCACTTTGACAGATTTCTGAACCTGAGCACAGCCAACTATCATCAGTCAGAAAATCAGAGCCACTGTATTCTAATAATAAAAGCTTTCATTAAGAAATTAGGCTTCTTGTAAGTGTTTGAGAGTGCTTTAGAAGGAAGGTCTGAGTGTTGCTGTGGAAAAATTAAGGCACTAAAGCTGTGAATCAGGAGAGTTGGTAAGTATCTCTGTTGCCTGCAGCAGTGCCATGCATGATTCTCATGTGTTCACCGAAAAGCGGTCACCTCCCATCCCTGCCTACAAGTTACGCTGCAACCTCATTGAGAGAATAATGGCTTTAAAACTCTTCTGCTGTTCAAATCTCAAGTGACATTCTCTACAGTGGGGGAGATTCTACCTGGAATACAATAGGGAAGGGGTGTCTGGGGAATGTAATGTCTCACCTCTTAGAAGGGTGGGGTTATGAGTTTGTAATAGACTGTCCAGCCCAGCAAGCTCACTGTGTTTCAGGTGAAAGCACATTGGCCAACATTTTCTCAGTAATCCACTCTTGCCAGTCTCTGTGCTCAGCATTTCATATTTTCAAATTGATGCTTTCCAATGGTCCTAGTGGTGGTGTATGAGGCACAGGGAAGGGTGCAGGAGGGGGAGGGGATTTTTTTTCTACATTAAGGAAAACAAAAGATAAAAGAAATAAGCAATCCATGCTTTCATAATTACAGTAACAGTGATGTGGAGGTTCAAATGGAAACCCATGTGATCAGACGACCTGAATTCTGAACTGCACACAATGTTGCCCCTCTAATCTATTCCTACTATGTGCTTGCTGGTTAGGGTAAGGGAGCCAAAGCCAGATTATTTTCACATGTAGTTTCAATGTAGGTGGTTCTATAATTCCAATGGTGCTTTGAAAGTGTCAGTTGAGGAAATTTAGGAAATGTATAAGACTTAAAGTCCTAAAATATAGATAGACTCTCAAAAGAAATCAGCAATTTTGAAAGAACTGAATAAAAACACATATACTATGAATAGATAGGATTTCTTCTCCAAAATTATTTGAACTGCATGCAAAAAAAAGTAGTATTTTGAAATGGCTTATTGGTAGGATTAATTTTTTAAAATGGGAAATAGATACTCCACAAGAAAACTAAGAAAAATCTATACCATTGTAAATTTAACTTAATGTGAAAGTATGTTTAAATGGAGAAAGAGACTAGTGTGATGAAAATTAAGGACATTTATAAGGGGAGATAAGACAGAAAACTAACTAGAAAAAATGTGCAGGTGATGATGAGAATTATTATGGTTTGGATATGAGGTGTCTCCCCCAAATCCTGTGTTAATGCAGAAATGCTCAGAGATAAAATGATTAGGTTGGGAGAACCATAACCTAATCATCCATCCTAGTTTGCATAGGCTGGGTGGGAATTGTAGGTAGGTGGGGTGTGGCTCAGGGAGTAGGTCACTTGCCCTGGAAGAGTTCATCTTCCCTGTGATACTTTCCCTCTTTCCTCTGAGACTTCCTGGCTGCCATGGATAGAACAGAGCCCTTCTACCACACCCTTCTGTCATACTATTCTACCTAATCCTGGACCCAGGGCAACAGCTCATTTGAATAAGGACTTGTCAGGAGATTTGGTCACAGTAACAAAAAAAATAAGTAATATATTGATTTTAGAAAGCAAAGAGTAAGCAAATGAGGGGGGAAAAGAAAGAGAGAGAGAGAGGGAGAAATAGATTGACTGACTATATTTGAAAGATCTGAGTAACATATTTTGGACCCTGCGGTCGGGCAAAGGCAGTGTTCAAAGGGCTTAAGTGGAGAAATCTTCCACCCCACTGAGGTCCTTCCCTAATCTCTGCTTGCCAACTTGATTACTAAGTTCTTCACTATGAGGAATGGAATTTATTGTATAATAGAAATGATTTTTTTGATTACTGGAAAGAAATGTTGCAATATAAATATATGTATCTGAAATTTGCTTTATAAATGTATTTCTAATACATTTTTAAATTAGACTCACAATTTTAACAGGACTTTTTACCATATAACATTTTGGATACAGAGAACTGAGAGTCAAATGCTAGGCTACTAAGATAACTCCACTAGCACTCCACGTATGTCATGGTCTCCAGATATAACCTGTATTTTAATCCAGGTACAGATGAGAAAATTGTGCCAAGTATGTGCCACTGGGAGTTAGAAATGTTCTGTTTGGGGTTTCTCTACTTGTACAAGGAGTTGAAATGAGGCTAACCTATTTCTTGTCAGTGAGGGTTTGAACATCAGGTTTGAAAATGGTAGCCAGACTATCCTATGAGTTCAGGAGAATACAGTTTTAATTATGCTAAATGTCACTTTTGGAGGGTGGATTTAAGAAATGCAATTATTTTTTATTCATGAGGAATATACAAAAAAACTATGATAAAATGGTATTTTTTTTAAATCCTCTTGTCAAATTGACTAGAATTTGTATATCCTAACAATAAAATCTTCAAATGTGAGTTAAAACAGAGTAATGCTAATTCAAAATATATTTTTACTTCAAATTTTGAGAAGGAAAATGAATGGTACTTTTAGAATCAGTAGGTTACTGTTAGTAGTTTATAATCAAGTCAGTTGACTCTTCAGTTCTTTCAAAGGAAACAATCTCTAGCTACTTCCAGATTTTATTTTTTTCCAAGTCTTTGAGCATCTTTCTAATCAATTGGTAAAGGCTACATCATGCCAAACTGTCATCATTCTGTCACCCCTAACCACTAAAATCCAAGAGTAAAGCTCTTGCTGAGGTTACTTTGGAAAAAAGACACAAAATTGTACAAACCCTTCAGAAAAATAAGCATCCTGGCCAGCAGTGAGGCAGCATGTATTCATTGAAAGGCAATGCTTACCTCCTAACCTCTCTGCTGTCTTCTCCTGGGTTGGCTGCTTCATTGTCAATGGGAAAATGAAAAATATAAATAGGAAGAGCCAGGTAGCAAGGTAATTTGGTAAAACAATCTTTAAATTCTTGAAGTCTGTGTGAAGATAATGCCAAAATCAAAATCCAAAGTGTTAGATGGAATAAACCTAGTCTCTAGATATTTGGCTGAACAAACCCAAAAGCCACTAGCCTTCTAGCACAGTATGGTATGATGGACAGCTCGTGGAGATGGCTGGAATGAAAACAGCAGTCATGTCGATCATGGCTGAGGTGAGTGAACAGAAATGTTTATATCCCTGGAGAAAAAGTGTGCAGAGAAGAGAAACTATATTTTTGGCACTCATGAAAGTTTCTCAATTCAGCATATCATATTGAATAAAGGATAATGTGCGTTTGGCAATTGAAATGAAACTTAATGATTCATTAGTTGAGATAAATGTGATTCTTCTTGAAAGAAATTCTGCCTCAGGTTTCAGACATGAGTAATTATGCCAAGAAGCAACTTATTTAATTATAAATTAGATGGGGATGAGTCTGAATAGTGGAAAAGGGAAAAATAGGAAAGTCTTAGAACAATATCTTAGTTTTTAGGTAAGGGTTATAAATTGTTATTGTTTGAAACTAACAGTTTACAAACATGTTATTTATGGTCCTGCTCCAATGAGTACTATTTTATCTGAGCTGGTGTTCTCACCAATAAATCATCTACCAGTCGATTCCAAAATGAAAAGAAAAATACCCAAAAACAGACTATG